ATTCATTCATAATATACTCTGTCATTGTTACGTGTATTTTAAAATATATTTTTGTTGCTATTTTGGTGTGGTATCATTAATTTTATCAGTTTATTGATTAATTATACTTTGTGAAAATATAAATTTCTTTTTCTTTGTGTTTCCCTAAAGCTTTGTTTCTCTAGCCTGTTCTTCCTAGAAGTGACCATTCAACTCAGTAAATGACTTCCTTTCCACCATTACAAATCACTTAGCATTTAGTCAAAGGTCTTCATATGGGCTAAGATAGAAGCCCCAACCTTAGCATGTTTGCTAACAGTATTCTAACCGCTGAGGAGCTTTACATAAATGATACTATGACATGCCGATTTTGATAGCATATAGTAGAGGAAGAGAACTATAGTTTTGTTTTTTAACATCTTGTCCCTATTCAGAAAATGTTAAAGCTAAAGAACATGAGACAGGACAGTCTATCTCTGATAGACTATCTCTGATGTTCACATTTTCTCTTAAACTTTAGTCCCCAACTCAGAAATATATCCAACTCCAGCAGTGGTTAGGGCTAGGCTATCATTTGGAAACTGTTAGGCGAGAGCTGAGAATATAAGTGAAGGAAACCTAAGACCTCCTGGCCAATTTTTTTCAGTTGCCATCTTGAGGAAAATTCAGTTGATGTTCTACTGTGTTGATTATTGTTAATTTGTTAGTACCTTTTGATGTTTTATTTTATAATGAAAATTACATATTTGATGTCACTAATTTAAAATTAAAATAAAAAGTATCCTCGTTTCTGTGGCTTATAGGGATGGTACCAAGAAGCATTAGACCAGTTTGAAGAAATCAAGGAAAAAGACCATCAAGCAATTTACCAGCTAGGAGTAATGTATTATGATGGACTGGGGACGTCCCCAAAGGCTGTAAGTTATTAGTGTTTGGGTTCTCTCTTTCCCCATCCCCATCCCTATAGTATTTAGCATTTCACTTTGAATAGAAATCCTAAATATTTAGTATTTATATATAAATGTTTATATAATAAAACTTACATGTTTTAATGCTACCTAAACTGAGTATTTTAAAGGGTATCAGGAGTTTTGTTTTTGTTTTTGAAAATCTACGTCAAAAACAAAATCAATTACTTTTTTGCCTCCTTCTCCTCTTCCATCCTCAACTCCAAGTCCTGGGTGGCAGTTTCTCTCCAAATTTATTCCATATGTCTTACGTAACTGAGTTAAGTTACTAAAAAGAGTGAGCCTCTTTTGTATTCTTGTTAAGTTTACATTTCATGACTGTCCTGAAATGCTAGGGTTGTTGAACCTTTCCAATAATTTTCATAAGAACGAAGGTTGTTTTACTGGGATTGCATCTATATTGGATAGGTCATTCAATTTTCACCCATGGTACTTAAAGCAGATAGGGTAAGAAAACAGCTGTAGGAATTTTGGTGCTGGATACCTTTTAAGCTAAAGTCTGTCTCTTCCAGAACATACAGCTTTACCATGAAAAGTTTCATTTACTAAGGAACTAGTGCCAGGAGAGAAGTTCGCTAAGCATGGTTCTCATGATTAATAAAAGAATATTTAACACATTAAAATATTTCCTAAAATACAGAACAAAACAGACATAGCTCTCTTCCAGTCAGTTGGCCAAATGGTTGTCCTCCAGGTTTTTTTACACATCTTGGTGAGCACATCCAGGGCAGCATCAGTTAGCTGAAATACTTTAATTGGTATACCATCAGTTCCTGGGGCCTTATTTTTTGCCAGTTCCTTCAAAGCAGCTTGAACTTCTTTTTTCCTTCATCACCATAGGCTCTTGCTCATATGTTGCTTCATGAAATTCTTCTGCCTTCCAATTCCAGTTGGTACAGTGACTCTGTATACTCTTCCCATCTTCTTTTAATACTTCCTGGATCATTTAATATTCTGGCCAAAGCATCCGTAAGTAAGCAGCTTGAGGTTTGAATTTGTTCTTCACTTCCTTGAGCTTAAGAAATGCTGAATGAGTTCAGTCCTTTTGATTTTCTGACTCCAGCTCCTTCATTGTAATATTTTACTTTGTTTTCCCGCACTGCTTTTTGAAATCTTCTGTTCAGCTCTTTAATATCTTGAATTCTTACCTCTGCTTTGGCTTCTATGCGCTCTGGTGCAATAAGAGTGCAATAAAAGAGTCTCTTCTGACATCCATTTTGGTCTTTTCTTCCTCCTCTGTCTTTGTAATGACCTTTTGCACTCTTCCTGGATGATACTCTTGTTTAGAAGTGGTCGTGGTACTAGGAATATTGTAGTTAATGTTAGATGGATCTTGGCTGAAAGCAGGGAGTACCAGAGAAGTGTCTACTAGCGTTTCATTGGTTATGCAAAGGCGTTCGACTGTGTGGATCACAGCAAACTGTGGCTGACTCTGAGAAGAATGGGAATCCCAGAACACGTGATTGTGCTAATGCAAAACCTATACTTGGAGCAGAAGGCAATCATCCGAACAAATCAAGGAAACACTTCATGGTTCAAAATGGGGAAAGATGTATGCCAGGGATGTGTCCTATCTCCATACATTTTAACCTATGTGCAGAACAAATTATCCGGGAGCTGGGCTGTATGAGGAGAATTGTGGCATCAGGATTGGTGGAAGATTCATCAACAATCTGTGTTATGCAGATGACACAACCCTGCTTACTGAAATTGAGGGCTTGAAACACTTGCTGCAGAAGATCAAGGACTATAGCCTTCAATATGGATTGAAGCTTAACATCAAGAAAACAAAGATTCTCACCTCTGGGCCAATTGGCAGCGTCAGGATGGATGGTGAAGAGATTGAGATTGTTCACAGCTTCAGTTTGCTTTGCCCCCACAGTCAACACTCTTGGCACCAACAGCCAGTGAGTTAAAAGACGTATTACAATGGGAAGGTCTGCTTTTAGGGACCTCTTCAAAGTACTGAAGAGCAATGGTGTCACTCTGGAGACTAAGGTGTGCCTGATACAGGCCATGATCTTTGGAATTACTTGCTATACATCAGAGAGCTAGACAATGACTAGGGAGGATAGAAGAGTTGATGCCTTTAAACTGTGGTGTTGGAGAAGAGTATTAAATATACCACGGACTGCTAAGAAAATGAACAGGTTCATCCTGGAGAGGATTAAACCAGGTTGCTCCCTGGAGGCAAGGATTCTGAAGCTTCATCTGACTTACTTTGGATATGTTACTAGGAGGGACAAGTTCTTGGGGAAGGATTTCACACTTGGAAAGGTGGAGGGACAGCGCAGAAGGGGAAGACCCTTTATGAGGTGGATTGGTTTAGTGACTGGGGTAATGAGGTTAGGTGTGTAGGAGACAGTGATATTGGCACAGAACAGAGCAGAGTTCAGTGTTGCTATGAGTAGCAGGTGACTCGATGGCACAAAACAACAACAAAAAAATACAGAATTTTCCTTTAAGCCCGGAAGATGTAGGTGAAATTGTATGCTTATGTACTGTATAGATAGTGTTGTTGTTGTTGTGTATTGTAGAGTGAGAACCCATCCATAGCTGACTCTCTGGTGGGTTTTCAGAAGTTAATTGCATGGGAGGAGATTGCCCATCCTTCTCCCGCAGAGCAGCTGGTGGGCCTTGGGGATTGCAGCACAATTTCTTGCCACTAGGCCACGAGAGCTGTCTCTATGTATAATAAAGATAGACAGATATAGATAGATGATAGATAGATAGATAGATAGATAGATAGATAGATAGATAGATAGATAGATGATAGATAGATAGAGGTAGTTATAGATAGATATAGATACATAAAACACTAGTTCTTGAGAGGAAAAAACATTTTATATGGTATGTTGTTGTTGGATGCTGTTGAGTCAGTTACAACCCTATATACAATAGAATGAAACTCTGCTACACCATGCGCCATTCTGACAATCTCTGCAGTGCTCAGGCCTCTGATGCCCTCGTTAAATCAATCTGTCTCTTGCTTTGCTTTCTTGACCCTCTACTGTTCCAAGTCTGATGCCTTTCTCCAGAGACTGGCCATCTTGATAGTATGCCCAAAGTGAGACAGTCTCATTACCCTTGTTTCTAAGGAGAACTGTGGATGCCCTTCTTCTAAGACAGATTTGTCTCTGCCAAACCCCAAAATCACACAGAACACACTGTGTGGAGTTAATTCCAAGTCCTAATGGCCCTCCATTGGATTTCTGAGGTTATATGTCTTCACAGGAGAAGACTGTCCATCTTTTTTTTTCCTCAGAAAAATGAGTGAACTCAAACCACATATCTTTTGGTAGGCAGCCCGACATATATGTGCTACACCCCTTTTGGTGTATTCAATATTCCTCCCCAACACAAGTCAAAGGCATCAATCTTCGCAGATCTTGCCTGCTCAGAAAGAAATACTGCAGGAAATTCAGTCTTGGTTAATAAAATTGTACTAAGTCCATTTAATTTTCATTATAACATTTTAATCTCTGAGGGTCAATTTTCTAATTCAATTCTTTGTCAATTGTCTGACTTTCCACAGAAAATGTCCCTTCCAACGAAGAGCCATCAGTAACATGCCTGCTTTAATATTCTTTGCATAGGATCATGCACTGGTGTGAGCAGTGTGAATGGAGCAGAGCGGTGAGGGTGCGGGTGGAGGGAAACTTCCCAGAAAAGGGACGCTGGTATGCAGCCTCATGGACGTCCACTAGAGAGGCCCTCACTACATTTCAGTGATTGTCTTATTTGCTCACTCCTGATTGGCAACCTTCCATGAGATGGATTGACAGTGTGACTGCAACAGTGGGCTTATTTGAAGCCCAGCAGTGGTTGTGCAGATGGCCTGGGATCAGGCAGGGTTCCGTTTCGTTGTACAGAGTCACTATGAGTCAGAGCTTACTTGGAAGCAGTTAACAAGCTGGCAAAGAATATAGACTGTGTCATGGATCATGGACTGAAAAAAAGACTAAACAAATCTGTCTTGGAGGAAAGACAGCCAGGGTGCTTCTTGGAATCAAAGATGGTGAGATTCTTCTCTCACATATTTTGTGCATGTTGTCAGGAGAGGCAGATCACTGGTGGAAGACATCATACTTGGCAGAGGGTCAGCAAAGACGAAGACCCTCAATGAGCTAGAATGACACACTGGCTGCAGCAATGGGCTTATGCACGGCAGCGAGTGTGAGGATGACACATGGCCAGGCAGTGTTTTGTTGTGTTGTACAAAGCATCATCGTGAATCAGAGCTGACTCAATGGCATCTAACACCCCACTGCTGTCAAGGATTTCTGACTCAGAGCTACTCGCCACTGGGTTTTGGAAGCTATAAATCTTTCTAACAGCTACCCATCTTTCTCCCTCAGAGCAGATGGTTTCAAACTGCTGGCCTTTCAGATAGCAGCCTGGTACCTTACACATTGCACCACCACTGATCCTATGGACAACAGTTGGAAAACAGTTAAGCCTTTAACTGCCTAAACAAAAGATTGGGGGTTCCTACTCAACCAGAAGTACTTTTGGAGTAAGTCCTGCTAATCTGCTTACAGAAGGTTGTGGAAACCAGCAACTGTTATTGTAACTAATAGATAATAGAATTTAATGGTAAAAAACAACAACAACAAAAACCCACACAGCTTTTTCCACTGTTGATTTAAGTAGAATTTTTTTTCTTTCTTCTCTGCCTAGATTAGAAAGAACTATTATAAATAATCTATTAGATATAAAAAAGGGAATAATGGAATAAAATGCTATATTGAATAACTTAAAAGAGAATGTCATCCTTATATGTTATGAACTCATTAAATACTATTTTTTGACAGGCCCCTTTCATACAAAACTAGCAATATTCTTTTCTTAAGCATCCCTTTCAAGGTATTTTATTCCCATTGGGTCAGTGGAAAATTGTTAACACTGTTTTAAACAAAGATTTATTTTCTTAAAAAAATATTTTGGTC